TTTAGCTCAGTCTGGAACTCTGCTCTGACAACATCTTACACTGTAACTGTGGAACACTTCATCATGGTTCTAAGTAAAACTAGTTTGTCCTATGTCAGAAAAATGCTGGGCAATGTTACTTCTGTGTATGGCTTGACTCCTTTAAGACAATCAAACCAAACTTGTGGGAACTCATGAACTTTGGACCGGCAGCTGTGGAGCCTCCATGGGACTCGACTGGGCTCTCTGCATAAGCAAGACATTTGTGTAGTTTGAACTGCTTGAGGGATGCCCTGGCAGTGAGATTGGGATCCATCCCTGGTGTATGAGCTGGCTGTTTGGAGCCCACTACCGATGGTGGGACACCTCAAACAGTTTTGATGCAGAGGGAGGGGGTTGGCCTGCCTCTATTGAGTAGACCAGGCTCTGCTGAGTCCCCATGGGAGGCCTTACCTTGTTGGAGGAGGGTATGGGGGGTGGGTTGGTGGGGAGAGGCTAGAGGAGAAGGAGGAGGAAAGAAAATGAGACTGTGGTTGGTATCTAAAATGATTAAAAAATTCCTTAATTAAAAAAAAAAGAACATGACTTTGATCTGGTATCAGAGGTCTGTGTACTGAGCCAAGAAAGCGATCGTTCCCAATCTCCCCTGCTTATGAATGACTCCATATTCTTGTTCCTGTAAGAGTTACAGTTACTGAAGTAGTTGTGTGGAAGAAAACTTCATAAAAATATATTTTTTTTTGTTTCTCTTCTTCCACCACCTCCTCTTTCTCCTTTTCCTCTTCCTTCTCCTTATTGTCATGATCATCATCATCATCATTATTCTTTAGCTCAGGATGGCCAAGAACTCACCATGGAACCCAATCTGGCTTCAAACTTGTTGCAATCTTTCTGCCTTAAGCTCCTTAGTGCTGGTGTTATAGGTAGATGGAATTTTTTTTAAAATGTTTAGTAAATAAAGCATTGCCCAGCTCACAAGAGATAATGGGTATTGATCCCAGTCAGGGATGTTGAATTCTAACTGAAGAAACACTTCTTTATGTATAAAATAACATCTCAAGAAAGCCCATTCAATGTAAGATGTGAAAGTAGAAGCGGCAGTGTCTACAAGAACAAAGATGACTAACAGTGGCTTGGAAAACCCTGGCCTCCATTTTCCCTGCTGCTACTGGAGGCAAAAAGAGCCCGGGAAGGTGTGTACTCAATATCCTCTCCTTGAAAGGAACATTCTGAGTGGTCCCTGAGTGCATCACCTTATCTTGTTTTGTTTTGTTTTTTTCGAAGGGATTATTTCTTTTGCCTGCTCTCTTGCTCCAACAAGATAGTAAGCTTTTGTGCTTTCAGAGGTTTTGCCTCTATGTTCAGAATGTTATAGCTAAGGCTAATTGCACCAGTTAGTTCACAGTAGACACTAAATAAGTATTTAGTGAGAAATCTATGTCTCTTTAATTTCTGCTCCACTACACCTAGCTGCTAACTCTACTACATTTGTTCTCTAAGTACTTTTCAAATTCCTCTGCTTCCTTCCATCTCTTTTGCCCATATTCATGCTTCTTTCATTTTGACTTGCAGCTAGTTCCCTCTTTTTTGCTGTAGTCTAGCGTCAGCCATTCTGTACTGATGCGAACTGATTGTTTTTATGTTCAAAACTTGGATGCTAACGTATGCTTTTCCTTACTCTACTGTAGTATTTTGTGTTTACCATGTGAATATTTCTCTGCTCTAAATGTCCTCTTCCTCTTACCATTTATTTTATATTCTCCCAGAATTTAACCAACAAAGATGATAAAATATATAAGTAATAACAACTATTTCCATTAGCAAAAAGAGAAAGGGAAAACTAAGCTGGCCATCAAAACTTATCCACTCATCATTCATTATGCTTACTTGGCACATCTTCTAGCAAGTAACGGCAAAGTGGAGAATAAAACTCATTTGGATGTTGGTGAAATTCTTTGCTATTGATGGGCTTTGTAAATATAGCTAGCTCTGAAGATTAATTCAAAACTGAAAATTATAGCTGGAAAGAAGTCTGATCAAAAGCATGTATGATCATAGGAAGTCTAAAGAGTACTGAAGAATAATTGACAGTTTAAATGGCTACGCATCACTGTGTTTCTCCAGGGTGTTCTTCCAACACAACCAAGCAGATGAACAAACTAATCCATCTGGTCTTTATTCTCTACAGGGCCAAAGTCCAATGTGAGCCATTTTATTCTTAGCAAGATCCCTGTTCCAGGTCCCCATTGCTCCAACTGCTAAAAAAAATGACCAATCCTAAAATAATACATTGTAATATGCACATTTCAGAGTTTCTTACAGTTAAGTCTTCACTGACCATATTGTTCTAGACCCCAGGAAGTTCCTCTTGCACAGCTGATGAAGACCTCTGACCTCTATCTATAGCTCTATCCTAGAACTAAACAAGAGACTTTATAATGATACAGGGTACATAATCACATTTACTTTCTGTAATTCCATGGAAGTGATCTTGTTTGTCTCTCTAACCAGACTGGAAGCATCTCAAAACAGGATTGGGTCTTTTAATTGTGTCCTCAGTGTGTGAAACATACTATATACTAATTAATGTGTAGTGAAATTAATGGAGAAAAATAATAAAATAAAATGAACATAGCATTAAACTAAATCCTAATGATTTATTATTATACCCATATATCAATGCATTTCTCAAGTCTCATTACATAAGTTTCAACTTGCTGTAGATTGTGATCAAGAGAGACCACAGCTGATCAATACAGAGAGGACAAGAGACTAAAGAATTCTCAGCTCAAAATGAGATGTCTATATCACATCCCCTACTTCCAGGCTCAGGGATCAATTTGGAAGAGGCAGAGGAACATACAAAAGCCAGAGGTAGTGGATGACTACAATGAAACCATGTCCTGCAGACGCAGCAAGGGTGCATGTGAACTCATAGCGACTGTGTCGGAAGGCACAAGACCTGTGCAAGCTCAAGCCAGGCCAAATCCCAGTATGGAGAATGGAGGTGGCCAGGAAGTCTCACCCCTAGCTGATGAGTCATTGGCAAGTGATAGCTGCTGGGAAAGGGAGCCAATTTTCTTTGAGAGTGTAGCTCATGGTAAGCCAACCACACTCTAGTGGAAGGCCACACACCCAAGATGATATGGTCACATACATACTGGACTTGATGAGTCAAAAAATAAATAAATAGCCGGGCAATGGTGGCGCACATCTTTAATCCCAGCACTTGGGAGGCAGAGGCAGGTGAGTCTCTGTGAGTTCGAGGCCAGCCTGGGCTACCAAGTGAGTTCCAGAAAAGGCGCAAAGCTACACAGAGAAACCCTGTCTCAAAAAACAAACAAACAAACAAAAAAATGATTAAATAAATAAATAAATAAATAAAAGAGGACACAAACGTTAGATGGACTGGGATGGAGTGGTCTGGAAGTAGTTGAGGGAGGGGTGAATATGGTCAAGACTCATTGTATGAAATTCTCAAAGAACTAATTTAAAAAGTAAATATAGCCTCCCTGTTGCCTGGAAAAGGGAAAGCTGTAGAGCGTGGGTTGAAGAGAACATCTCCCTACTAGTAGATGCTCAACCTCCATTTTGAAATGCTGTGCAAGCAGACCGCCCTCTTGTGGTCATGTGGTGCTTTTACAGCCCCCCAAAATAAGTCCTTTTTACTAACATCTCTCTAGCCCAAATTGTGTTCTATATTAAGATGATGCATAACTTATGTGTCCTAGCTACAGGATGTGTATTCACAACTTGTTCTCAGGGCTATTTCTATTCCATAGGGATCTTATCATTAGAAATAAGACTGTGTGTGTGAGTCAGATAACTAAGAAACATGAAGGTGTGTGGCCAAGAGACAGCATCGAGTTCAAATTCCACCCCTTCTATTCCTGCATGACTAATGTGAGCAAACAGCCTAATCCTCTTAACCTACACAAAGGAGACAAGGGAATTTTAATCTCGTGGACCCTTTTATGTTTTTAAACTCCATTTTTCACATATAAAATGGAGGTAAAATGGTACTTGAAAACAAACATGTCAGTAGGACTAACATAACGAGAATAATAGACTGCGAGGGCACCTAAAATTTAATAAGCAGCCAAATGCATGCATTTTTTAGTTTTAGTGTATGATTTCTGTATATATCCAATTTAGCCGCACAACAGAGGTGACAGGCCCTGCGACTGCTCCTCCTCCATCCTTAAGATGTCCCCCCCATCTCACCCAGGTCCTTAGGGTACAAACACCATGGTGATCTGGAGAGCCTTGTACTTGTGTTGTCAAAATTCTTATTTCAGGAGAAGGGGTGTTACTCAATTGGCAAAACACTTGCCAGGCACGCATGGAACCCTGTATTTGATCTGTAGCACTACATCAAAACTGAGTGTGGAGGTATGCCCTGCAATCCCAACACTCAGGGGTTAGAGGCAGGAGAGCAGAGAGTTCAAGCTCATCCTGTGCTGCACAGTAGGTTGGAGCCCAGCCTAGGATTTGTGAAATTCTGTCTTTAAAAACATCTTATTTCAAAATAGTCAAAGCTTCTTGTGAATATCATTGTGTGAGAATACAGTATAGAGTAATTGGAAATAAGAATTTCACACAGATATCAGAAGGAATTAGAAATTATGTATAAAACAAATATATATGGTAGAAGAATAATAGTCTCCATAATTTTTTATCGATTTAGCTGAAAATGATAAATCCATATATTTAAATATAATATATATAACACATGTATACATAATATGCATGTGTGTATGTATATGGCATGTGCATATTCCAAATATAATTATGTACATGATATACAACCTGATCCACATATCAAGATATGCCAAGGCATGCAGTTACCTTCTTGTGAACTACTGAGCTATAACAACACATTGGAAACTTGCTATTTTACTCTTGAATGGGGGACGTAGAGAATAAAGAGAGGGAGACAATAGCTGCTAATACAGGAAATTTTAGAGCCAGCCAAGAGGCGGTCAGGACTTCCGCCTGCCCTGCCATTGCGGCAGGACCACAGATCCCAAGTTGTGCAACACCTTCAGTAAACACTTGCTCAAGCGTACACAATGAAGCAGGGAGTTTCATTCTGTCTCCCTTAAGAGGCGGCTGGGCCAGAAGCAACCTTACAGGTGTGAGCGGAGGCAGGCACCGCTCTGGGACTGCAGCATGTTGCAATGGAGTCTTCTGGTAGTCTCTTTCCTACTTTCTCCAGTTCCAGGTAGGCGCTAATCCTTCTCTGGGTTCTATTCAGCACGTCACAGGACTGCATGCTACCCATCTGCTCCTGGTCTTATGGTATATAATACATTGGCTAGCTGTTTCTTCCCCTTTAACCAGTTTTACTAGGCATTTGGGCTGTAATTTTAATCTGTAGTTTGGGGGCTGTGATAGACATGAAGGAGAGCAATCAGAGGTTTGCTTGAAACATTTATATGCCAGCTCTGGTACCTTTAAAAGAGAAAAGGAAGCTCCCATGCATTTAAACCATGAATGTGATCCTTGAGTCAAAAAAACAAAATCTATCAAAACTAATTGTGTCAATTTTTAGTTCAATAAAACAGCAAATTTGACTGATTATGACCACCAAGGATTGGAGAAAGTATCTGCTCTTATACTTGGGGCCGGTTTAGCAACTTGTGTTACTTTGGATTGCACATTTTTATGCTTAGTGATAATAGATAGAGTTAATTGGCAAGATGCCATACTCATGTTCATAATTATAAAGCATTGCGACGTTATTGGTGAGGAGGAGTTTCAGTTCTGTGTATGTTGATGATACACTTCCCTTTTGCGGGTTATAGCAAACATCTAAGAATTTAGATGGAGTGAATACTACTTCCTAACATGTTAGAGCAAGTAGGTTGCTCCATTTTATAAATTCTCAGCTTAGTTTTGCACGACTGAGATCTGATGACACATTTCTCCAGTATGTCTATGTCTGTGTCTAGAGTCTGAATCCTCACCCTAGCTGGCAAATTTTCTTGGACCATAGAATGTTTGCTGGGACCCAGGAATGGATGAATTATGAACAAAAGTGAGAGCATTGAGCACAAAATGCCTCCCTAATCCTCTCTGCACCTTCCTACTAAAAAGGGCTTGTCCTTTGTTTTTCAGACTTGTAAAAATTACACTTAACACCCTTAAAATTTAGGATACTAATATATCCTTAAATACATGAGCTCTTGGCTTCAAATTCCTGGTTTTGATTTGCAGGTATTAAAAAGTTTGTAGGAATTCTTTCCTCACATTTCCTGAAAACACTGTCTTCAGTACTGTTGGGGACATCACTCTCAGGAGAAACAGAGGAAATGCTTGGGAACCAGCTCTGTTCAGGGGGAGAAAGATCACATAGATCCAGTGACAGAGTCTCATGGTTAATGGTGGGACATATGCATGCTACTGTCATTTCAGTGAATTCAGTTAGAAATCAGCAGAAACCAAACTGTTTCTGCTCCCCCAACTCTACACCAGGATGTGGAAGCCGGAGATCTAAAGCCTGGAAGTGTGACATCATCTCAAGGATGTGCTAACAGAGGTTCTGACTGCTCTCCAGTGAGGGGGCATTCATCTCGAATAGGATGCCACACCCTGCCTTTCTTTACCATTCGTGTTGCCCTTTCAAAGGCATCCCCCCCCCCACTGTACCCTTGGTAGACTCCCCATAAGGATTGGTTTTCCAGCCAGAATGCATGGAACAAAAGATTTGTTTTCTTAACTCTTCATTTCTCCCTCTGCATCATTGGTACCCTAGGCATGTGCCCTCTGGCCATAACCTTTGCCTGGTTCCACTAGAAATAAAAGAAGAATATATAAAATAGGGCACGATGCTCGTAATGAGCTTCACCATCCCCTGAGAAAAGTGACATGGGATTTCATCATAGGAAAAGTGAAAACAAATATTTAAAAGGACACAGAAGGTGTTTGGGGAGAAGAGGAAATAAATCAGTGCATTGACAAAAGACAAGTCTCCACTCTGTTTCAGGAGTATGCCTAGGGATGCAGTGGCTTTAAAAATATGTTCATTTCAACTAGAAGTTATTTTTACCCTTTATAAAATGACTGGGAAAAGTAAGCCATTATACACAACTGAACCTATAAAGCCAAATAATAGACTTCATTAGAATATGGGTTCCAGTTTCCCTCAATACTTATTTTTACTGAATAATGTTTAAAAGTAGAAGAGTCTGAGGGACAGAGAGTCAATGTCATTGTATAAACTTGCACTAAAGATTTGATGCCTCCTTTGGAAAGACAACCCTGAAACAATTTCTAACAGATTTGGAGCAAAATGCAGATGCCAGTATTATGCATAAATGTCCCAAAATGGATCCAGATAGAACAGTATTCTAGACTGAGGTCAGCTACACCAGTCTCATTAATGAGCTTTGTTTTATTTTTTAAACTAATGAACAGTTAAAGAAAAATCTGAACCACAAACCACACACTCCCATACCTCTCTAACTCAAACCAAAATAACTGTCTTCTCTCTAGATCTCTAGATCCAGTTTTGCTAGTCAAAACTAATCCAACACATGAGTTCTGTGGGAGAGAGAAAGCAAGCAAGCATTAAAACAAATTAATAGAAACATATTGTGTTACGCCTTGGATTTGTGTAATCCCTGGATGGCAGTTAACGCTGTTTGTGTCACTGGCTTCTAAATAATTAACTCGATTTTATTCACCTGGGAGGAGGTTGCCCCGTCTCCATCAAACGAAAGGATGCATGAGACAAACAGTACCATGTCTACTCCGTCCCTTGTTATGCCGTGGAAATCCATACACCTCACATATCCTATTTCTAGGGCCTTCTAACTTTCAGGAGAATCGGAGCCTTTTAAGAGAAATCCTATCTGTTTTCTTCAGAGAACTGACTGTTGTGAGAGTTTGGAATGAACTGGAAACTTACTGATTTCATATAGCTAAGAGAAGTTGCTAAAGACCTTAAAAAGGAGGATTTGTGTTTGCTTTGGTTTCTATTTGGAAGTGCTCCCCCACCAAAGAGTGAGTTGGAAATAAATTTTGTAAGTAGTGTTTGTATGTTTTGACTCCATAGTTAAGAACTATTTGGTGACTTTTGGTTTCATGAAATATTAGGCGTCAGACTAACCGGAAGTGCGGATTCAGCACGTACAGCACAGGAAACTGCTTGCTGTTGGATGGGGTGACCTAGTTTGCTGTTCACGTTCTCCTTAAAGAGAAGTGGGGCTGTCATTATGTTCGTTCTTTATAGGAAGGATCAGGTGGGTGCTGTCATCACTTTATGACTCAAAGGAAACTTCACCTCATTTCCTGTTAAAATCACACACATTGTGGTTGAACCCCACTGATATGGCTTTTTGTCATTAAAAAACAAACAAAAAAAAAGTTTACGTATATGAGTCTTTTATCTGCATGCATATCTGCTTGCAGAAGCCAGAAGAAGGTGTTGGATCTTAGAGACAGTTGCATATCACCAGGTGGGTGTTGGGAATAGAACCTGGATCCTTCTAAAGAGTAACTTAAACACGGCACTATTTCTCCATCCCTCCAAAATGGCACTTAAAAAATTCTGTCTACTTCTTAAATGTGAGTGTGTGAGTGCGTCTGAGTGTGTACATATGCGCAGAATGCAGGTATCTGTGCAGACCAGAAGAAGGTGTCAGATGCCCCAGAGCTGGAGTTTCAGGCAGTTATGAGCCACCTAAGATGTGTGCCAGGAAGTGAATTTTGGGTCCTCTGGAAGAACAGGAAGCACTCATAACCATCGAGCCATCTCCACAGCCCCACCCCTCCCCTGGTATGGCACTTAAAGAAAAAAAATTGTTGAAGCTACGACGTCAGTGAGAGCTGGCTTCATAACTCAGTGTCTGTGTGGCTAATTGTGATGATTAGGCACCATAATGCACCAGGTAGCATACAGGCACCATATGGTGTGCTTGTTCTGTGTCAGTGAATTAAAGGAGGCATCGGGGAATTGCACCCATGCCATGAGCTCATTTCTGGCAAGAGCCGTTTCTTACCTCTTGGCATCTCACTGCTCTGTAGTAATCACAATTTTTTTTTTCATTTTCTAAATATACAGCCTTTAATGTTTTAAAATACCTCCCTCAATTGGTTGTTTAAAGTTTTTTCTTTTTAACTTTTATTTAATTAATTTATTTTTTTTATTCATTTTACATACCAACCACAGATCCTCCTCTCATCCTTCCTCCCACTACCTCCACCCCCACCTCCCCCTGATCCCGACCTACCCCTCCTCCCCTCCTCCAACAGGATAAGTTCTCCCATACAGGGAGGGAACAGTTAAGCCTGGTACATTCAGTTGAGGCAGGACCAAGCCCCTCTCCACTTCATCGGGGGTGAGCAAGGTGTCTTAGACCATAGGTAATGGGATCCAGAAAGTCAGCTCATGCACCAGGGATAGATCCTGATCACACTGCCATGGGCCCCTCAAACAGACCGAGCTACACAACTTTCTTCTGTATGCAGGGAGTCAAGTCCAGTCCCATGCAGGTTCCACAGCCGTCAGTCTAAAGTTCATGATTTCCTTTGAGCTCGGTTCAGTTATCTCTGTAGATTTCCCCATCATGATCTTGATGCCCCTTGCTCATATAATCCTTCTTCCCTCTCTTCAACTGGACTCCTGGAGCTTGGTTGTGGATCTCTGCATCTGCTTCCACCAGTTACTGGATGAAGGCTCTATGATGACAGTTAGGGTATTCACCAACCTGATTACCAGGGTAAGCCAGTTCAGGCACCCTCACTACTATTGTTAGTAGTCTTATCTGGGGTCATCCTTGTGGATTCCTGGGAATTTCTCTAGCACCAAGTTTCTCCCTTACTCCAGTATGTCTCCCTCTATCAAGATATATCTTTCATTGCTCTCCCATTCCATCCCTCCCCCAGCTTGACCATCTCATTCCCTCATGTTCCCATCCCCCATCCATTACCCTCTATTGCCCCCCCATCCTCAGTATATTTATGGGGATCTCCTATGTTTCCCCTTTCCAAGGTGATCTGTACATCCCTCTTAGGGTCCTCCTTGTTTCCTAACTTCTCTGGAGCTGTGCGTTGTAGTCTGATTATCCTTTGCCTTACATTTAGTATCCACTTATGAGTGAGTACATAGCATGTTTGTCCTTCTGAGTCTGGGATGATATTTTCTAGTTTCATCCATTTGTCTGCAAATTTCATGATATCATTGGTTTTTTGTTGTTGTTGTTGTTTTTTTGTTTGTTTGTTTGTTTGTTTTTTTTTTTTACATCTGAGTAGTACTCCATTGTGTATAAGTACCACATTTTCTTTATCCATTCTTCAGTTGAGGGGCATCTAGGTTGCTTCCAGGTTCTGGCTATTATGAATAGTGCTGCTATGAACATAGTTGAGTCTTTGTGCTTTGGTAATCACAACATTTTAACAGACAAGAATGACTGTCCCACATTTTAGAACATTAAAACAGTATTTTGTAACCACTACTACTACTTTTCTTTACCAACATTAAAATGAATTGCATTTAATAAAAGTTTATATTAAATTCCATAGAAATAAGGAGTACAGTGATTACCCTATGACTGCAAGAAATGAGTAACTTGAGAATTTTGTGGCCTGGACTTAGGGATGCATGCAGACAAGGCCACTTTGGGATTTGGAAATAAAAAGATCTTGGATTTGAGGCTAGCCTAGTGGGACTCTGGCGAAATGAAGAACAATAAAACAAAAAGAAAAAAAAAGAAAGAAATGAAAAGAAAAAGAAAAACTGTACTATTACTACAAAAGTGTGACAATGACTTATTTGTCACAGCTGATGAGAATGTATTTTAATGACAATGGCCCTTTTGAAGACACTGTAGTGTTTTGTGTTTGTTTGTATAATATTATAGACTACTTGGACACATCTTAATCTGCTCCCACTTTTCAAGCGGTTAAAAATTTCTAAGTCTAAAATTAAGATATTGTGGTATCTGCACCTGGCTTTAAGTGGGGTTTTTTTTGTTTATATATTTTTAAATTTTTGTGTATACAGATATTTTGCCTGTATGTATGTCTGTAGTTCACTTGCATGCCTGGTGGCCAAAGAAGCCAGAAGAAGCATCCGATTCCCTTAACTGAAGTTACCCACATTTATATGCTGCTTTTCTCATGTGGGTGCTGAGAATAGAACCTGGGTCTTCTGCAAGAGCAGCCAGTGACCTTAACTGCTGAGCCATCTCTTCAGCCTTAGCTTTGTTTTTGAAATGTTTTCTGAGAGTAAACCCTAAGCCATGGAGAGGAAGGTTCTTTCCTTCATTATCTTAATTGCCATTTTGACTCTGAGTGCATCCTTAGAGCTTAATGAGTTTTTCTAACCTCCCAGGTTAAATTGTTCTTATGTGATCACATGAATTAAAACCATTCCAAAATTGACATCACTGGATTTTTTTTTTTATTTTTTTGCTTTAATTCTCAGAAAAATAAAATAAAAAGGAATTAATATTATATTCTCTGGAAAGTCATTGGGCTAAGCTATCAAGTGCTTGTCACGCCCCCTTGGGTATGTCTGCTATTGGGTGGACCACGGTAGGAAAGGTTTATGACTTATTTGTCACAGCTGATGAGAATGTATTTAAATGCTTGGTGTGAGAGCTAGAATTACCCTCAGAGAAGCTCCAAATCATGGCACAGAGAAAAGAAAGCGTTTTCTAGATCCTGCTGCCAGCATCCTGCATCTGTCCTCTTAGTTCCCCTGGGCCTTCATCCCAAGTGGACCTTTAGCCCCCTGCAGCAGCCAGAGTGGGACCATTCATGTTTCCTTCAGAGCCACCCACAGAGAGCAGGGTCCAGACCATGTGGAGAACAAAAAGAAAAATTAAAAATCCATTAAAAAATATTAGAAAGCTCTGAATTTCCCTTTAGCCAAATTTCCAGAAAAAGCTTGAGCATGAGCCTGTGAGATGTGAATTGGTTGTTTGAGGTGACTTTCCACTTTCCTTACAGTGGCAGTGTGAATCCGACCTCCAAGAAGCCCTGCCCTGATTGATGCCTCTCTTCAGATTCTCTACTTCTCTGATTTCCATATTTTTCTATGCCCAAAATGAAGGCTTGTCAGGATTGCTCATGCCAGCCCTTTCTATGGGGCTTTTTACTGGGACTATTTAAATATTGCTGTTGAAAATTCCAAAGAACATGTATTTTGACCAGAAATGGTGTGCATCTGATTTCATTTTATAGCAGTAAGGTCTTGGAGTATTTCTACTTCATTATCATGAGAGTGATCGGCTTTCAGAAGAACTGGATTCTGCTTAACTTTTACCTTGTCTCATTCCCCTGCTAAGGAGTCACTGCCAGGATCCAGCAAAGCAAAAAGAAAAGGGAAAATTAACAAGAAATACTTTCATCAGAGAGGCACTCGGAAGTGCCTGAGAAATATTAAAAGACAGGGATTAAAGACTGGGGGGATGGTTTTCCATGTTGTTCAGCTCCCCTTGTGTCAGGACATAAATCATTGAAGGACTCTGTGTGGCATCACCCATCCTGATGGTCACTGCTGAGCAGCTGATTCTGTCCCACAGTTTTATCTTCTCTTTCTTTTTTTCTACCCCAGCAAGCACAGTAAAAGAACTCCCCAAGACCAAGAAATATGAAGTGGTTTATCCCATAAGACTTCATCCATTGCGTAAAAGGGAGGCCAAAGAGCCAGAGCAAAAGGTTGGTACATCTGTGATTGTCTTCTTTCTTGTACATGCAGCCTATGTGTATGCCTGTGCACATGTGTATACGTGAGAGAACATGTGGGGGAGGTCATAGTCATTCTTACGTTGTTTGTCATGGTATCCACTTTGATTGTCGAAACCGTCTTTCAATGGACTGGAACACTCTCATTCATAACTAGGCTGGCCAGGGAGTCCTGGGGTCTACCTGTTTCCATGTCTTCTTGGCTGGGATTAGAAGCATGGACCATTAAGGCTTTTTAAATAGGTGGGTTTGGGGCATAGAAATTAAGTCCTCATGCTTATATATCAAGTACTTTACCAACTGAGCCATCTCCCAGGGAACTCCTCTGGTTTTTCAGTGACTCCTGAATATAATTTAGATATTCCTTTGGAGACTAATAATATTAGTGATTTTATTAGTTTGTTTTCCAAGCTTTTATTCTTCACTACAGCCCGAAGTTCTACTAGCTTCATTTTATACATCAAGGTTCTGAGAAGCGACATTCATGATCCCTGGTCACAGAGTGTAGATTTTGACATTTAATAATAATTTATGCTGTATACTTCCAAATAATTGTATACAACTTACCTGATCTATTATTTATCTATCTACCATCTATTCACAAACATATAATTATTGCCTTAAATTAGAATCAGAAAATAAAACATTGAAAAAGGATATAAATTAGCATGTTATCTGAAATTTGAATCTTTCCTACGTAGATAGAATTAAAATTTGTATAATTCTTACATTGTAATGAAATAACATGTCGTTGGGCAACACTAGCTCATAGTTTTAATTAGTCACAAGGGGAAAGCTAAAACATGATATCCAGATGTGGGCATGGTAGTGCACACTTGAAATTCTCGGTGTTTTCTATATGCTTTTGAGTTGGATGCTGGCCTGGGCTATATAGTGAATTTTAGGCCATCCTGGGCTTTAATTAGAGAGCCTATCTACAAATTAAAATAGGATGTTCCATTCACCAGCGGTATTCTAATTACCTACATTCTGCAACATCTGATGGAAGTCAGAAACACAGAGATAAATGAGACGTAACTGATAATTAGAATAACTGAAAATGCAACTAGCCAGGAGTGCTTTTCCCCTACTAGAAAATTTCTTCCAATGTCAATTGTTGTTAGCAGAACTTAGTAGAGTCTGTGTACCAGGATTATTCTTTGGGGCCACCAACCAGCTCCCAAATCACGACACAGAGACTTATTATTAGTTTTTGAATGCCTGGCCTAGCTTAGGCTCACTTCTGGCTAGATCTTTTAACTTAAATTAACCTGTTTCTCTTTATCTACCTTTTGTCTCAGGGCTTTTT